ACTTTTGGCAACGGGAAGCTATAATTTATTTACTTAGAAATTTCTCATCTCCATTATCGTAAAGACGTCTTAGCAATTCTATTTTTAGGCTTGCACAAATGGGGGATAAATCCTGTTTTTCTTTTAAAGCAGATTGTGCTTGGATGTAAAACGTCAAATGTGTGAGATTTGTGTCCATCTGAATGATCAGCTTGGTTTTTATTTCCAGGGACAACCTCAGTTATCAAGTCCCATCATATGCAAACCCAGACCACCATGCAGATGATGTATTTAACTTGTTACACAATCTCTTCCATATGTTTAACAAGCTCCAATAACTTAGGGATGCTCCTATCAGTGCAACTATTTGATCTCAAGGTCCCGAAGCAATGCAGCTCTTGCCCCTTTTTTCTGAGCATCTTTGGAAAACTTACTTTCACTTTCTCAGCCACGGAATGGCAGTGCTGCTGCTAATCCCAATACACAGTCGCAGATCTCACATTTTCTTTTACAATTTGATGTTTATGCCCATTTTGTGTCTCTGTACAGAAGTTGCCATGAGTAAGTTCAGTTTTCATAGCTGCAAATTTACTGGTGTGGTCTAATACTCTTTCATGGTTCCCCAATTCCTTTTTGATGTGCAAGTCCTTTCACGCCTTAGGGGAGCACAGAAGAAAGCATGGAAGTACTTGAAATGTTAATAAACAGGTGCTGGAGGCTGATACTATAGGCCAACTGGGTGTAGGAGGAGCTGGTGTCTTAGTGATGAATCAGAAATGCTAGGAGAGGAGGGAGGCATGTCGGGAAAGATCGGGAGGATGCAAAGCTTGAAGTGACATGGCAAGGGCAATCGCACACAAAAAATTATCTTTCCAGAAGCACTTTGAATGGACCTGAAAGTTGCTATAGCGAACTTGAGGATGAGCAAGGCTACTCTTCCTCATAAAGATCTAAGGGTAAAGGTGGTTTGGAACAAAATGGGATCTGAATTGGAGAGGTTGATTTTTGAGTTGTCCACATAGAAATACTAGTAAAATGTATGTTTACATACATTCAGCAACACAGGGAGGAGGTACATAGAGAGCAGGGAAATGGGCCAAAGACCAAAGTCTTGTGGCAAAGCTTGAGTGTCGGTGAAGGGTCTCTTCCAGAGAAGTAATGATTGGAGGGATAGGACGAGAAATATGAAGATGGAGTCACAGGAGCCACTAGAGACTAGATTTCACAAAGAATGTGCTCATGGGACCCCAGTCACCATTAGGTCCAAGAGAATGTGAATGCTGTTTCGAGCTGTGTCAGACTTCTCATGACACCTGGGGGGCAGAGGAAAGTCTATAAGGTGTTTGGGAGAACACTGAAGAAGAGGCTTTGCAAATAAAGATTGCAGACCCTGTGCCCAGATTGTGATACTAGAAGGGATCACTGTGGTCATTTCAAGAAAAAAGAAGTAACATGGGAATATGGATCTGTACCTCCACAGGACTTACTTTGTCTACCTTTGAAAAATGTGAACTACCCTAATAATTTTCCAGTAAAGTTGGCTTGTGGAAATACAGTGACTTCAGTGCTGATGATCAAGCACTTTTGCACCACAATTGATCAAAGACAAGGCAGCAAGTATAGGAAGTTCCTGGTTCTTGTGAAAACCTTTAGGTTTCAGTGCAAGACACTTCTGAGAATGTTCTGGGCATCTCTGAGAAAACCCTAATAGAAGCAGGATCTGTATAGTGTAGCACAGGCTCACAAAAACAACTAATTCAATATAGTTCTATATTTAACGTTGTTCAGCTACAGAACAACACCACTTCAGTGTGGAAAATCACTGGCAGACTTACAGGGATATGCATATTACCCAGTATGACAGAACCAAAGGATGAAAAATTACTCTTGGACTTTGGTAAAGAGTAGGGTAATCAAAACAAGCACAAAATTGTAGAAATACAAAACTTCATCATGGTTTAGACACAGATGCTTGAGAATTTGGAAAGGTCATCATAAACTACAAAACCTACAGAAATGTCACTTCTTTGCAATGAGCTAAACACAAAGAAACAAAGAAATTGGAAGCTTCTGCTCAGTCTTTTAAAGCAAAATAAAAACTAGCAGTTGGCAGACGAGTGAAGCGAAGGGCAAAAAGACTGAAGAACAAAAGTGTTCATGGGCTAATATTTTTTTTTTCAGACTGTGTGTGAAAGCAGTTTAACCAGTGAAGACTTGAACATATTTGAAGATACTTTATTTTACCAGATCAAAACTAGAAGAGAGCTGAAATGGCCAACAGACCAGTTGAAGCCCATTGATCCTGTAGCAACAACATATAATGTTAGGTTTAGTTGCTGCACTGGTTGGAGTGCATTGTAGGGTCATTGATAATGGGGCTCTTTTCATGTATGCCCTCTCTTTGATATCTCTGTCCCATGCTAGCTCTTTGGTTTTTATCACCTCATGGCACAGTTTCTCACTTTATTCTGTTTTTCAGTAGTGCAAGGCTAGCGAGCAGGGTCCAGCTGTCTGCTGCATGGAATTGTTGTGGGTACTCCGTAAAAAACAGAGAAGAGGAAGCAAAAATGTAAGTTCCTGGAAGAGTTTAGCTGGGTGGACAGATAGGAAAGGCCATTATCTCTGATAAGCCATGCAAAAAGATACAGCAAGGTGCGATTCATAGCTTGGATGTGAGGACATAGGGAGTGATCAGAGTGGAAGAGTTAGTTTCAGGTAGAAGATGGTGGTCTCCTTCACCTTGATCAGTTAACTTCAGATAACCTGACTGACCCCAAGTGTTTATTAATCTGGATTTTTTTGACCCACCCACACCTGTCCCACTACATTGACCATCAGAGGTTTTTTTATTGGCTCGGCTGCTTTCCCTCCCTTGGAACCCTCCCAAATTAACCTCTCTTGAGGGCTTAATTTCCATAGTACACCACACTCAGACCAGAAGCTGCGTACTAACCTTCATTAATTCCAGCTGGAATTAAGTCCAGCTGGACTTGGGACATTTTTTTCACAGGCCAGCATAATTCCCCAAAGATTCAATATAAGACTGGTAACAGACCTAAGTGCCTGGTATTACTGTTATCAAACCCGCTCTGTTCAGATACCAGCAGCTGCTGTGACTGGGATCGGGGGCACTCCACTCATGGGCACGGGCAGCATTAGTGGCAGTGGAAGTCACTCTTGGCTCTGTGCCTGCTCTGCCTCCTGGCAGGACACACGCCTCAGCACTCTTTCTCCTGCTTTCTTTGTGTATTTACACCTGTAGACCGGGTTCCTCACCCTTTTGGAGCCTGGCTGGGGCGTTCCCCGCAGGGAGCTGCTGCCTGCCACTTCCCTTCACTTAGCCTATGGGTTCTACCACAGCCTGGGGATGTTGCCTTCCACCTTGGAAATCCTCTCCAGCCCAGCTAACTTCACTTCATCGGGCTGGACAAACTGGTTCTTTCCCATACCTTTATGTTTCCTTGGCTGGGATTCACCCTCCTCTGCCAGGTTCACTAAACACACTCTGCTCACCATAATCTGGGAGTACTCAAAGTTCCAGTGATCTTAAATCTTCAAAAAGTGAAAAACATCCTACTTTGAAAAGAGCTGGAGATGCAACTCATCTCCCAAACTTATGGACCCACTTCTGTTCTTTTAACTCCTATGAACCTGGTTTCTGCAGCCACCTTGCCCAGGCTTTTCCTTGACCTTGCCTTTTGTGTTGCATGACACCCTTTACCGCCTGGGGAGCTTGGGCTTGCGTGTGCGTACAGGCAGCAGCGCATGACCGAACAGGGCAAACTGGTTACATTCAATATCTGTAAAGGGTTTTCTGCCTCTCACTTCATCCATGCCCCTTCTCACAGCACTTCTGCCTTAACATTCCCACAGGTCTGAAGCGGCTGGGGGAGCTGGGATGGCTCGAGCAGTCGGAGGTGGCTAGACCTGGCAGTGCTTCTCGTGGATTCTCAGCCCTCGGCTGCCAGAGGACAGCTGTCCCGGGCAGCGTGCTCTGCTGTCCCGGCCGATGCTCGGAGATAAACGGAACAACCCCACGGGGGGACGCACAAGCAGCTGATGCCTCCACAGGGTGCCACTACGCGTTACGTGTGCTCACGTCATTTCTTGGTGCAGCTCCCTAGGGACGCGTCTGTCCCGCCAGAGGCAGCAATGGCTCTTCCACGGGGACGGGCCCTGTCTTAAGACGCCTCCAGGACGATTACGCCGCCGCCGCGCTCAGCCGGGTCTGCGCGGTGTTTTCAAAACAAAAAACCCCCTCGGGTTCTGCTGCCCGACCTGCCA